AACTCCAGACCTGCAACCGCCAGCCACGACTCTACGGCTTGGATGGCCGTGTCCGCGCGCGCCTCCACAGATGCTAGCTCCTTTGCTACCACCACTATAGCGACGTCGTCCGCAAATCCAACCAGGTTGGTGCTGACTGGCATCGGAAGCCTCAGCACGCCGTCGTACATTGCGTTCCAAAGGAGAGGACCCAGGACAGAGCCCTGCGGGACTCCGGCTGAGACGTTGTGCTCTTTGGGACCCATGCTCGTGTCCAACAAGAGTACCCTGTTGCTGAAGTAGCTGTGAGCTACGTTCAGCAAGTACCCAGGGACGTTAAAGTTCCTCAGGGACTCTAGCGTACGGCTCCAGTCTGCCGAGTTAAAGGCATTCCTGATGTCCAGGGTGACCACCAGGCAGTAGGACTTGCTTCCTCCTTTCCACCTGGTTCCGGCAATGGCATCCTGCGCCAATTTGACTACCTTTGCAATGGCGTCCAGCGTAGACTTCCCCTTCGTGAAGCCATATTGCTCCGGGGAGAGTCCACCAGCGGCTTCGATAGCTTGGCTCAGCCGGGTTGAGATCACCCTTTCGAACACCTTGCCGATCGAGTCCAGCAGGCAGATCGGTCTGTAGGACGATGCTTCTCCTGGTGGCTTGCCTGGCTTGGGCAGCAGAAGCAGACGTTGCCTTTTCCATCTGTCGGGGAACGTCCCCTCCAGAAGGCACTTGTTGAACAGGCCGGCAACTTCGGACGTCAGCAGCGATAGAGTCAACTTGGTTGCTCTACTCGGAATCGCGTCTGGCCCCGGAGCCTTCTTGGGCTTCAGGCTTCTACCGGCAAGGAGAACCTCAGCTTCCGTGACCCAACGGATGTCGCCCAACTCGGTGCTGGGGCAGATCAAGACCTGCCGACCGCTCGGGAACAGGGAGCCAACTATCCTCTCCAGCGTCGCCGGGTCGGTTGGGGCACAGCCACCCGCATTAAGCCTCTTTACTACCGTTCTGTAGGCTCCTCCCCATGGATCCTCCTCGGCGGCGTCGCACAGCTTGAGGAAGCATTCTCGTTTGCTGTTCTTAATGGCAGTCTTAAGCTCCTTTCTTGCTGCCTTGTAGCGGTCGCTGCACGCAAGAAGGCGCGGGGTGCCTCTAGCTCGCTGCATCAATCTTCTGCTGCGGTGGCATTTACGGCGCAGGTCCGCGATCTCCTCGCTCCACCAAAACACCGGGGAGTGGTGCTTTCTGAACGGCCTTCTCAGTAGCATGCTTTGCCTGCAAGCGCCGTCCACGGCCCATGCCAGCTTGTCGGCCGTCTCGTTGGCTCCGTCTGCTTCGCCTGCCGTGAAGCCCTCGAGGGCATATGCAAAATCCCGCGGCCTGAAGGTGTCTTGCCGGAACGCCTTCCTATCCGGGAGTAGGGACCCACTCGTGCGATGCGCGGCGCCTATCGAGCACTCGATAGCCTCGTGGTCGCTGGCGGTATAGGCCTCGCTGATCTTCCATCGGGCGCGGCTGGCCAGCGCACTGCTGACATAGGTGAGGTCGATTACCGAGCCCACCCCGGCCCTGCTGAAGGTCTGCCGGGAGCCTTCGTTCAGAAGGACTACGTCCAGAGAGGCGAAGGTCTCCAGCACCGCTCGGCCTCTGGCGTTGGTCCGGGAGGATCCCCATTCCATGGCCCAGGCGTTGAAGTCGCCGCCGACCACGACGTTGCTCCGCCCACGCAGATCGCTGCTCAGCTCGTCCAGAATCCTGCCGAACGCCTCCAATGAGAGACTGGGTGCCAGATAGCAGCTGTACAGCCAAGTGCCGCCGACGTTCGCCCGGACAAAGCCTTCCGCTGCTTTGGTGTCGCACATCTCCGGAGCATCCGCTCCGCAGAGCCACAAGGCCGCCTTGCCAGAGCGGTCAGTGGCCCAGACGCGGCTGGTACCGACCCTGTAGGGTTCGCTCAGGACTGCCACCTCCGAGCCCAGCTCCCGCACCGTCTGCGACAGGAGATCCTGCGCAGCCCTGCAGTGATTCAGATTGAGTTGAATCAACTGCATGCAGGCTTGGGATTCGCATACCCACTGTTCGAGGCTGGACATCCCCTGGCGCCTGCCTTGTGCCTCGTCTCCTTCCTTCCGGCCGCGGAGCATATGAAGCAAGACGGCTCCTTGTTGCACGAAGCCGCCTTGTGTCCCGGCTATGGGGATGAGTGTGTGCGAGTGTATCTGTGTCTGTGTGTGTGGATTTCTCTTTCACAACAAAATAGTTTTGGTTTTCCCGCCTGCACTTGGCCCCAATGGAGATAAGAGGTGGCGGTGGGGCGGGCAAAGAGGGCGCTTTCCCGAGGTGCGAGAGTGTGAGTGCCCAGATCTTGGCATGTAAAATAAAAGCTTGGCTGAAATTGAAAAACTTTTCCAATATGTGCTTTTTCTTGCTTTCGTTATCCATTTTATTATTGCATTATATTCGTATGTGGATGCAGCTCTGCGGATATTTTTATTGTTTCATTTCACTGGCTCCGATATTTTTTATTCCTTTGCGGGGGCATGAACGGGTACGGGGGCGTGGCATTTATGATATGCAGCTGCAGCTCCTAATCCCATTCGAATTGGAACTCAGCGCAGTTTCCACAAATCCTGCCAAGTCAGGTGAGACGCGTGCAAATTGAAAATAAAGTCCACATGTGTCACCCAAATCTCAGAACTCCAAATGGAAAATCACCAATCCGGAAAATCCCTTTAGCTTTTCGGTGTGAGTGTAATGTTATTACGCTCTTTCCGGCACATTTTTAATGGCCACTTTTTGTAAGCCAAAGTTTTTCGCTAATTATCCAAAGGGAAAAACTTCCTCGCAGTTTTGTTCGTGCCTTTTTTTTTTGTTTTTGGCAACAATCAAAAATGACACTTGGCAGCGGCAAGTGCCCACATTGGGGATAAACAAAGGAGCAAAAAAAAGGGTACCGAAAATGAAGGGAAATAAAATTAATGCGTGGAAATTCATAAGCCCGGGACGTTTTTCTGGACAGTCAAGTTGGCAATTTGAGGCACATTAAGCGACTTAATTACATGCGGCCATTTAATTTTATTTTTCTTGGCCGTGGAAATGGCCCTGGAAATGGCTTCTGCACGCATTTAACTGGCAGATTGCACTTGCAGCCAGTGACAGCTGCATCAAATTGACATTTTGCGGAAAATGCCATAAATCAACCCGGACAAGCGCGAAGTCCGAGCCGCGGAGGGTCAAGTCCTCGGAGATATACGAATACGATCCAGAATCAGGACATTTTCTTGGCCTGACAGCGGCGAAAACGACACTCACAGCCTCATATTTTAATGTATGACTGCGTATAAATAAAAAGTTGTCCTGCCGAGGACTCTGTCAGTTAATTTCACGCTGCCAGGCTCTGTGAGTGGGCCGGAATGATGAAGTGCGTCTGCCCACAAGGGGCATTCGGATATATATTCGGAGAAAAAAATAAGCACTCCCTTTACATGGAATATGGCCTGTTATATTGGTTATTGGAAACGGTAAAAAGTTTGAAAAACTTGTAAGAAATAAGCTTTAAAGAAATTTAAGTCATCTAGTTCTTATAGTAATTTTACTATAAGTACATATATAATAATATACATATATAATAATATAACTTTATATACATTTTATCTACAAACAGAGTTCAATTTCAGTACAACTCTCTGCTTTTTGTGCCTAAATACAAGTAAAACATATTGCCTCATAGAGCATAAACATAACTGCAAGTGGGGAACCCTTTGCCATATTCTCATATATATATTTTACGACTGACATAGGGGCGGCCGTCCCCAACACAATTGACAGCCATATTTGCCTATCTTAATTCCTTGTCACAAACCAAATTGGCACTCACAGGCCGAATGTGTGTGAGTGTGCGGGAGTGTTACTTTGGGGACAGCTAACGGGCTGATAAACGGAACAATTAAAACCGGAAATAAAGTAACCACATGCGGCGAAAGTCGCTACTTTGATTGCCCTTCAGTGGGCGCTTATCGGAAAAGTATACTTTGGAGGCAGCTGTGCAGCTGGGAAATGTGGGTGGCTGGGCGACCTTGAGCAGGTGCAGGGTTTTCCGAAATTCTGCGCACACACTGGCACAGTGAAAATGAGAATCGAAGTTGGCCAAAAACCCCCCCTTAAAACTCGATACATTCTCGATTACAGCTAATTATGTAGCTCCGGGTCGCACGGCAATTGTTGCTTCACTCCGCTTTGCTCTTTTGATATCCGGCTTTAATTGTGCGTCGGTAAGGTTGCATTTAGCGCATTAGCCGAGGGCTGTTCGCATTTTCCAGCACAGCCCACAATTTTCGTGTAGTAAACCCAAAGTGTAAGCTCTCTTTAATTCAGCGGAGCGACTTGGCAGCAACGCATGCCCACTCTTAACTGAGGCTCTTTGCTGATTCCAACTCTCTTAGTTATGGCCAGCAAGGTGAGTTTTACACGATGTAGCTTTCTTACATCGCTTCAGCTCGATTTCAAACAGCTTTTGACACAGAACACTGAAAAAAGGTTTTAAGTTTTTATATAGAACGTTTATTTCAAGCCGAAAAGTAGCAAGAAAAACGGAAATGTCATCATAAATCCCTTGAAGAAGACCGAGAATATTTGAATTCTTTAAATAGATACTTATCTATATTTTTATAGAAACATATTTGAAAAAAAAAGTCTAAAAATATTATAATTAAGCCATAAAAACTAACAAAATCAATTCAGAAATTCAGAATTTTAATAATCTTTGACAATTTTAACCTCTTATCAAATTTTGTAAATTATTTAAGAAATTTTTTTTTATTCGGTCATGAATAGAAAGAAGTGCCTCTTGATGTTAATCAGGAATCAACTCCTCTACTGCTTTACTGCAAGCTTCTGATTGACAATATACTACACTGCAAGGGTATTATTTTAATACCATTTGGTCTTAGTTATATATAGTAATAGTTTTATAATTAACAAGCTAAATATACAAACAACACCCCATTAAAAAGTCTTTCGTATCATTTAGAAATCAATATTCATGTTTTATTGAACACAATACTACAACTAGCTGATCGATGCTGAATGCCGGATTGGTTGGTGTGACAGGATGACAGTTCCCCTTTCTGTGGGTGGCAAACATTTGATACAAATATTCGTCTGTGGCATGAGTCGTCTGTCGCCTAGGCCTTCCTCCCTCGGAACTCGCAGGATACATTAAATAATTTACACCAAAAGGGGGACTACTACAACTCGTATATGGCAATGGTTGGAGGGACGATGAAGGTTGAATAAGATTCGCTAGGGGACGACAGAGGCGGGCTTGATGACAGGTCCTGGTGGTGGCGGTGGTGGTTGGTTGGCTAATGGCACTACACAGTAGCTATTAATGGCCTAATACATTGAGCGGCATTTGGGATGTGCGGATGGAAGGAGGCCTTCAGCCGCGCCATGTCAGCAGGCTCCAGCCGCGGCTGGGCTTCTTGGTGCTGGTGGTCAGGTCCTGCTGCTTCTGCTGCTGGTCCTGGTCCTGCTCCTGCTGATCCTGCTGCCGCTGCTGCTGATTCTGCTCTATATAGGTGCGTAGTATGGTATGCTTGTGTACGGACTTCTCAAACTCGGCCGCACTGGGCCGGTACGCCTCGAGCTTGCTCTGGAAACGGCCTGCCGACTGCGAGGGCTCGGTGGTGTAGGCGTGGCTGCTGCCCCGCGTCGCGCTGCCAAACGAGCTGCCGCCAGACGCCGATGGTACCGCTGCCTGTGGGTGGAATCGGGAGGGGACGGGATAGGGAAAGCGGGTGGTTTTCGGATTACTGAACTGTGCTCGGTTGTTGTAGCTGAGTTGGCTCTTGTTAATGTTGTTAGTCGGCGAATTGTTATTGGCAACGGCTTGGCCTTGACTTTGACTTTGAACGGGGCTGCTATTATAGCCGTACTCATACGTTTCAATGCTGTTCGCTCCATAGACGCTGTTGGCCGCTGGCCCTGCTCCTGGAGCGGAGCAGAGGCCCTGGTAGCGGGACGAGGGCTTCATGCCGTACGTGGAGCAGGAGGGCTTGCCCACCTCGTAGGGGTTGTAGCCCACCACGTTGCCACTGGAAAGAGGAGAAATCAAAACGTTAGAGCTTGATATTATATTAAATTAAATTCTTTATTTTTAATGCAAACATTAATTTTAATCTCTGGTGATTTATGTGACTGACCTCAAATATAAAGCAAATTTTATGAATATTAAAATGAATAAATTTCTTGAAATCCCTTTCTTATTAGGCTAAATCGAAAAATGTAAACCGGTTCAGGATCACATACAATAACTTTGCCCAAATACGAATTCTCCTTATCTTAATTGATCCACTTTTTTTGAATTTTTGAATTATTCTCATAATTAATCTTAAATGTACACTGAACTCACCCCGGTCCATAGTTGCAGACGTAGAGCTTGTTGTACTTGCTGGCGTCCTTGTACTCGGCATATCCACAGCCAACAAGGCTGGTCTCGCCCCAAACTAGCTGCGAGTAGTGACCAGTCTTGGGGGACCAGGCATCCCCGAAGGAGTACTTCTGGACCTCGTTGAACCAACTCTGGATGCGCGAGGGGAAGTCACCATCGTCGGCGTCCAGCGGCACCGTGCTCCAGATAATGGCCAGATTCTGGCCCATCGTGAAGCGATCTATTTATGAATGACAATTGAATATTAGTCAATGAATTCACATTTATCTGGGTACTTTGTGGATGGTGTTTGGCTAAATGGAGGTGCTGGGCATGCGAGATTAGTCTTAGTGTTTTAAAAGCAGTTCGTGCAGGCATAAGATGCGAGAGATGAGGAATCTTAAGAACTAAAGGCTTTGTGAGGGACAACAATCATTTAGAACTTAAAAAAAAAGTTAATTAAATCGAATAAGTTAATTAATCAAAAAAGCACACACAATTTAAGGTAAAATATAGACAAAACATTTCATTGTAGACTTAAAGAGTTTGATTAACCAAAATCTTTGGTTAGTCACTCTAAATTTGATCAAAAACAAAGTGAATCATTTTGTAATGCAAGGCTTTCGTCATTTTGAATAAACAATTTAACTAAAAGGAATTTCCCCATGATTAATGAACAAATTTCGGCTGAAATGCATTAGAAAGTGCAATAAAAACAACCGTATCTAATTTGAATTTTGATTTCAAATGCTGTCACAGCCTCTAAAAATACGGATGATCAATCCATTGATTCAATAGGAACGATTTGTGTCCATCACAATAACCGTTACCATAACATGCAGACTTCAAGCCGAAGGATCCGCGCCACATGCTCTGCGCGGACTCAATCCAACTCCTGGGAATTTTTTGGTGTGGGATAGGATGGGGATAGTGTGGAGGTTTGGTCCCTCTCAGATCGGATTACTTACTTATCGTGCGGTGCGGGTCGTGCCGGAACTGGCAATTGTCAGCCCACTTTTGGGCCCGGGCGGCCAGCTCCTCGTCCCAGACGATCTCACGCATATTCTCGGCACCCGGCTGGCCCGGATAGCGTCCGGTGGCCACGATCTGCCGAAGGCGGTTGTGCTCCTGCAAGATGATTGATCTCTCCTCCGCCGTGATGCCCGATGCTGAAATGATTAGGTCGAGATTTGCATAAATTAAAGAGTCACCGAGAAGCCATGGAATTATGGAGGGAGCGGAGGAATATGCATGAGACGACGGCACGCCGCTGACGGAGAATGTTATCATTTCTATTTTTGTTTGCATTAAAATGCTTGATTTCACGGAGATTTCTTCAGGCTGGTGTTTCTCCTTTGACACGGCGCTCAGAGCTCCATCTCGGAGCCGGTTTTATTGAGCTAATATTTGTCGAAATCTTAGGTAGCTCGGCTTGGCTCTGCCTCGCAGAAAACCCAAGTGGACAAGTGGACAAGTGGGCAAGTGGACTCTACATCGGCCCGCCTTTGTTTTACATATGTTTTAATTATTTGCCCGGCGACATAATATTCGACACTTACGTGTGCTCCAAATTGCCGGCGATTAGAGGTTTATGTAACCAGCCGGTTCGATGGATCAGCGGATCACAAGACATCTGTGGCACTTTCCTTTAACCCAACCGGTTTCCCCCTAATGTTTGGCCATTAAAATAGAACACAGAACACGAAACGAAACGGAGCGAAATAAAATCAAATGAAATGCAAAAACCGAGCGGCGCGTGCTGTTCAAAGGCGTCAATTAAAAGTCCCAACGACGGCTATTAGCCGAATTTGTTGTCGAGTTTGATTTGATTTTATGCCAAAGTCATGGTCCTCCGGTGGCGCCTGACTCATGACGCTCGTTTGAAGTGTGTCAGCCGATGTGCTGCGAGTCCCAAACTGGCTGCAGTTTAAGCCGAATCGCCCCCAGGTGATAATTACTCGGCGAAGCTGGGGCCGAGACGGAAGTGAATCCTTGGGCGCTTGGGGAGTGCCCCCATTTCATTTAAATAATTACGCGCGCTTAATAATTTTTAATAATTATAATAATAGCCAGGCGATGGGCGCTGATTGCCCAACGCGACGTGATAGCATTTAAGCCAGGCTTCCGACGCGGATTCACAGCTCCAGCTTGACCATGGCTCTTGCCGGCCGGTCAAGTGCCGGGACGTGTCTGTCGGAATCAGATTTAAAGTCAGACAACTTGACGCGCCCCGAGTAAATAAATTGGCAGCTTCGCCTCGCTGAAGCTCGCACAAATATATGGGTCTAGATGTCAATACTCAGACTCGGCCAAACAAAAGGCGAGAATGCTAAACACGGCGTTTGCCTCGTCTTAATCTTAATACGTTCCCAAGGTTAAGATCGATTTTTGAGGCTGGGCTAGGTTCGGGAAAGAGACTCGGGCTGAGACTGCGGCTGCGACTAAAAATAACCCATGAGCGATCAAAAACTTAACCCAACCGCAGCTGTCAAATTATGCTACATTTGTATCAATGCGAAAACCGGTAGGCGAAAAGCTCAAACCCAGAACCTGGCCCAGAGCTGTGTGTTTAAGTTTAAGGCAGTGGACATCAATCACCCGGCGAGGCCTATGGGTTTTGTTTCTTTCTTTTTTACATTTTTTTTTTCATTGATGCTTTGAGCTGGGAGCTGAGAGCTGGCTGCTGCGGTTGCATGTTGCGGCGGCGGGGCTATGCAAATTTGTGAACTACCTTCGCTGACAAATTGCACATAAAGCTGTCGATCGGTTTCCGCAACGGGCGTATTTACATATCAAGACGAGACAAACTGCTGAGATAATGCTGACAACGGAACGTCAACAGCTCGGCTTCGAGCGACGCATCGAAACGAAAGACTCAGGCAACGAACTTGGCGTGGAAACCAGACCTCAGCCAAATGCCGACAATATGTTAACAAGTGCTTAACTGCACCGCATCTTGCGTCTTGACCAGGCGTTGACTTCACCTTGAACGTGGCGGGGAACGGCACAGGCTGGGTCTGGGACTGGGTCTGGCAGTGGGACCGCCGAAGGACTGACTGGCAGACGTTGAGAAATCTCAGCCGCATTTAGCGCGAGTTAATTTTCATAGTTATGCTTTATGTTTCGTTTCATTTTCATTTATCATTTACTGATTATCGCTGCAACTAGCCTTGTGCCGCGTCCCCATATTTAATTACATTATTAGCACGGCGGGCTTTTGATTGATGCCGCAGCAAAACGCTTCGGCCACAGACATGAGCTTACCAGCCATGATACCGGCCAGCGATACCATTGACATGCGATTAACTTTGGGTCCCCGCGGGACCGATATCGGGACTCGAGAAATATGGCGAAGACAGCGCATAAAAGCAATCATCAATCAGCAACGCACACGCGCACTATAAAAATCTTTTTGTTTTCATTTCGCCGTTTTATGGAAGAACTTTACGGAATTTTGGGTGTTTCGAGCGCCGCGTGTGCAGAACAAAGAACATTAAATCGATTGTTTGCGGCCACACTCCGAGCTATTTCTATTCCCGGTCCATGAGCCACTGATCGAGCTCAATGACCCATTAAAAATCGGAATCGAATGTTTTGTATAATTTTGCAAGCGCATTTGTGACGCCTGCGCGCTTAATTTGTTTACAAAATTATCTGGCGCCTGTCGGCCTGTCGCGGCAATTAAAATACCAAGCTCAGGTGTTGGTTCAACGAGCTCTTCGATTCGGTGGTTCTCCCCGCTAATCTCTAATCGGTTTCAAGGGTTCTACGAGGCTCCTGATCTCTGATCTCTGATCTCATTCGATCATGGGGTTGAGTGGCCTTTGGCGGAGGTGACAGCTGACAGGTCAGCCACCTAAAATACTTTTAATCCATTTGGGAACTTTGATAAATATTATATAAATGATATAAACCCGATGTGTGCGTGGACCGGTTTGCATCCCGGTCGACGCTTAAGTAATATGCCGCCCGTGTTTGTTGTTTTTCTAAACTAACATATTTATTATGCAATACACACAGTGTTTAAAACTGGATAATGAAGAAAGGTGACTCGTTTTGTGGGGCTGCGCGTCTATTTTTGGTCAGACTCGCCAAACTGGCCCCCAAGGAAGCATTTACATACTGGCCTCAAAGGGGGCAAAAGTTCTCGAGCAACCCTCGCTGGTAAAAAGCGAACACTGATTAAATAGAATAGGTTTTTTTTACGGACAAATATTTGCACTTCACTGTTTTCATTCACACACAAAACGAATGGCCGAAACGTGTAGCAAAGTGGACTAGAAAAAGTGCTGGGAGGCGAGGCAATCATTTCGCTATTTAGCCATGCTAGACATGCTTCTGTTCTGGGCTTCTATTCCCCGCAGTACACCCAAAATTCCTGATCAGCATATAGATTGGGAGCGGGGACGAACTACTTACCAATTATCTTTCCATTGCAGGCGAAGGCCGCTCCGCAGGAGATGATCGCGATGGTGAAGGTTAGTAATAACGCACTTGGCTGCATCATTTTGGTTAATTTACTTTAATTATTTAATTTAAATATTTATATTTATTGCTCTGCTTGGTCACTTTCTTCAACTTCAAAATATAACCTTTTCTTGAGAGACAGTGTTATATTTGATATTTCATACACTTTTTGATTTTGATTTTTTGTGGAAATTTTGTATATCACAATTTTGACGGTGGGGTTTTAAGGAGTAGCCGCCGTTTGTAGAAACCGAAAAAAAGAGCGCCCGAAAAAGCCGACGACTCCAACTCCACTCTCGTGTACGTGTAGCTAGACTTGAAGGCGTCGCCTGTTTGATTAACCGCTCGGCGGCGCCAAAGCTTTTATACCGCCGGCAGCGGCAGCAGCAACATGAGCAGCAGCAGCGGCAGCGAAGAAGCTGCCGGATCGGATCGCGATCCGTGCGAAGAGCAAGGCAAGAGAGCGAAACGCTGCGCAGTCGCAGTCGCCGCTTGGCAGGCGGGCAACATGTTGCCGGAAACCTCAGCAACATATTCCAAAACTGAATAATGCTGGAATAAAGCTGATTGTTTAACACAATGCCTATGTAAAATAATTTAAACTACTTTTTTTTTTAATTTTATACTATTTTTTATATAGAATTTGTGCATATTGTTTAAAGAATATTATAATTAAAATTATTTATATTATTTTTAAGTTCCTTTGAATGTTTTTAAACTAACCATTATCAACAAATATTGCAAAATTATTATATAACTCACAATTTTAGCAGATTCTTAAAGAACAACTCTATCAATTTCTCTTTTAAAAATGGTTATTAAATTACAAATTAATAGCTTTCACAAAAATATCTATATTAAGAACTAAAAGTAAGGGTACAAGCAAAAACCCAACCACAACTGACCGGTAAAAGTACAAATTGCCAGCACTTCCAGTAACATGCGGACGAATCGAACGTTTTGTGTTCTTTTGGGGGCCTAATTGAAGATTGAACTTAATATTAATCACGCTGCTGGTTCGGCAACAATCACTCGGCAATCGGCAATCGCCTTCGCGGGGGCGTGGCTGGTACTGGGCTCGCTGGGAAAACAGCGGCGAGCAGGTGCCCTGCGGCCAGGGAGCTCCAGAGCTCCGCAGCCTCGATCATTTCGCGTATCATTAAAAACCAATAAAAACACCCAATTAAATGCACAGTACAAGAACAAATGCCACTTGATCCTTTCACCGCCGCTAGTGGGACATTCACATCCACGTCCACGACCACATCCACATCTGTGATCTCGCTGCAGTTCTGGCCCTGTTCGGATTGCCTTTGCCGCTCGCATTTCCGCTTTGCGCTGGCTTCTTGCCAAAATAATTACGCGTACAAAACCATTAACAAGTACAAACGATTGCGCCGTCCCAGCATCCCCAGCTTTGCCTTATTTCGGCCCAGTAGGGACCGTGAGATGCACTGGGAAAATACTAAAAAAATATCCTTAATCACTGGAAGACGAAACGAAATATTGAATATTTAAAAAATAACTGTTTCCTTTAATACATTTTTCTTTCATTTAACTTTTCAGGTTTGATGTTTTTTCCTCAGTGTATTGTGTGCTAACTGGTTCTGTTTATTTCACCTCGTTTTAGTGCCGCCGATGCCGCTGACCATGTTGATGCCACACATGACGTTTTGGGCGAGGACCCCTCTATCTGGGGCTCCGACTCTGGCCCATTCCCATTCCCAGATACGGACCCAATCCCAGTGGCAGGGTCCAGTAACCGGCAACTGGCAACCGGCGATCTCCGATCGGTGGTGGTTAGTGATCAGTGATCGGGCACCGGCAGTGACGTCTCTGCTGGTCCGCTGATTTATTTTATTTCGCGAAAACTACATAAATATTAAAAATTATGCTTTACAGAAATATGAAATAAACATATGCCCCATACACGTTCTTTGATGTTCCTCTTCGCAGTCGCTCCTCCCGGATCGCTGGCTGTCGATGTTTCGATGTTTTCGTAGTTTACATTTCCTACTCGAGTGTGATTTTATTTGTGCTGGAACGGCGCTCATGCAGCAGCGGCTTAAGCAAACATAATTGGCCTTCGCTTCGATCGGCGGTGTTTGCATTTCAATAAACAGCAAAACCTGCGTGAATCTGTACATTCGTGCGCATGTTGAGCAAAGTATAAAATTCCCGACACCTCGTTTAACTCAATTTAACAGCACTTGGCACCATCCGCCGGTTATCGTGTTTTTATTTTTTTTTTTAACTTTTTGTTGCTCTTTGCCGCCCCTACGATTTGCCTTTGTGTAGTTTTATGACTCAATTTAATGTCTTTCTTGTGCTGCGCGTGTGCTGTCCGTTTGGACATCCACATGCCACCCACAGCCTCAACGGGTTCCGTTCTTTATTCAGCTCCTTGATGTGCCAGCACAAGTCGGAACTGAAATCCTGACGGACGCATAATAATTTTTATAAAGTCATCGATGCGCATGTAGTGACTCATGCGACCCAGTTTCGGTTAATCGATGCAAGGAAAGTGAATCGTTCTCTGATTCATTCGGTTCAGGAGGTTCACATTTCAGTTGTGAAATGCATTAATTGGAAAAGGTATGATTTTATAGGAAATTTGAATTACAATATGATTTAATTAGTGACTAACTAAGATACAAACTAGTTTAGTTATTGAACTTTAAGGCTTGACGTTATATGCCACGCGTCAAAGTTTAAATAAGTTAGTTACAGAAAAGATCAATCAAGTCCTAATTATAGAACGCCTAAAGATAAGAGGGAGTGCCGAAGGCAATTTAAAAATATAGTTAAGATAACATTTATAGTCCACACTTTTATTCTACGATCCGAAAATAGACAACAATTTAATGGCTCTGGCGAAACGAGTTTCTCTTCGGCTAAATATATATTTTATATACTCTAAACTTTTAGCTGAAGAAAGTAAAACAAGACGTGGCGTGGGCTGAATAAATTGGCCGTTAAAATTAGCTAATGAATATGCACCGATAATTGGCGGCAATCGGTTAGAAAGTCAGAATGCCGACCCGCTAAGGTCGTCGGCCATGTCATCGGAGGGGGTGAACACGGGTTTTCCATTTGGTGTATTGATGATACAACGAATCGGCGGCAAGGTCACTGATAATTTCTCTAATCAGTCACTTGTTTATCGGCCCGATCGCCTTGCGGAACTACTCTGTGCGAATATGATTGCCAATTGACATTTGCTCATAACCGGGGAGCTTCTGCCCCTGGCAGTGCCATTGGTGATGACTTCGAAGTCGATGTTGTTGATATCGTTATTATTATTATTATTATTATTCCCGCTCGGAGTGGCAATGCAGGTGTCAAGTGGCGGCAGCGCATCCTTGTTGTGGAGCCGCGAACGCTTCCGCTGCCATATATCTTCCCCAGAAACACCTCCGCGTGACTGATGATCAACATTTGCTTAGACAACACAATAATATTGACATTTTGGTCGAAACCCAAGCCCCAAGACCGATTTCGAACAAGTTTGCCGGCGGCAGAGACAAATAAATGACGGTTCAACAACTGATCTGGATGATAAGTTATACAATTTTATTCGGACAAGGGATCGCGGCCCCGTCGTCTTCATTTCTCCCTGTGTGACAAAATATTTCCATAACACTGCGGTTTTTGCACTTGACGGGCTCGGTCGATGCCAACGACTATTATTAAAATATTATTAATTGCAATTGAGACCTGACTGCCGGCCTGCCAGCCTACCAGTTCGGCTGACAGCCGCATAATTAAAATGTCATTCGGTTGGCGTTCACAATGAAGTCGTGAGCGGCGAGAGCTCCATTAACAAATTGCGGAATCGAATTGGAATCGGTAAAAATCAAAATCAAATTCGTAATAATGGGAGGAGTTCCTCCAGCGAAACAGGGAAAATAAGTCAATAAGCCAAGAGCAACACGTGTTTGAATGAATGAATGGGGGGCTGTCGTAAAACCATAAACAATTTTCATTAGAGAAACGTTTTCATTCTTATGCTAAATCAATTCATATGCTGATCGATCGGTCTACGCTTGTGTGGCTTTTTTCTTCTTATCTTATTTTTTTGAACTTGTGCCGGCAGCCGGGGGGAAAGGGAGCGATTCTGAATCTGGGATATATGCGCACACACCTTCATTAATTCGCTTTGGTAGCCAGCGTTTTTCATTAAAAAGCCGTCAGCGTACAATAAATTTTTGACCATTTTTTTGTGGTGATCGCGGGCTCTGATCTCGGGTGCTTTTTTTTTTACCTTGCGCCTGCTGAGCCGATTTCGCCCCGGCTCTTTATTGGCTTCATTATGGGCCCGATCGCTGTATGTATTTATTTTGCGCAGCCAGGCGACAGAACATAATTTTAACGCTCTTTATCACGCCGCTCCGCTGCGAATGCGAATAATGCGCATGCGCATGCGCCATTCGATTCGAATTCGAGAATTCGTTGCGAATATTGATTTATGCCTCTCGATCTTGTATTGAAAATCTCGAGAGTCGCCGGTTCCACTTGGCTAACTAACTGGCTAACTATGTATATCAGCGCATTTGATCTTCTGCCTCTCGGACTCCTGACATCCAAAAGAACGACACGACAACTTAATCAAAGCTAAGCACCGATCATAATTTATCAACCTGTGTCAGCCGGAAAAAAAAACCAAACAAGCCGCGAGACAAGAGAATACAATACGCAAATTAACAAAACTATTATTACTGCCTGACTAACGGTTCCAGTCGACCCCCGGTGGTCCGGACCCAGTACATCCCTCTCTTATAAGCCGACCTCCGGGCGGTTCGCCTTGGATGAATCCGATTGCCGGTTGGGTTCGTCTTGCCGCGTCTCGACTGCCACCGTACGTTCCATTTAATGGCATCATAATAGAACATACTTAAAGCCAAAACATATCTATTATCTGGGCATCGTCGAAGAGGTCAGAGCGCGGAAGTTCAGCGAGGCCCGAATGGGATCGCGATGAATATATACGGTTTCATATGGAAATCAAATGTGAGAGGGGCCCAACACTGTGGGAAACAATTTGTATGTTAAAGTAAGATTCTTTTGACTTCAAAATTGGAATACACAATACAAAATTCGGGTAAATCGGTTGGTAATAATATTAAGGTAGTATCTATTGTCTTATAGGTGACACAAAATTCTTTAAAATTATTCATTTAACTTAACTTAAATTTCAAAATATGCTTTATTTTAAATGTACACTTTGACCACTGTTTGTTAACCCTTTTGCGTCAGAGAATGGGAAGCCCGGAAGCTTCTTCGGGCATTTAATCTGATTATATACAACCTGTTCGGAAAACTATCAAGAAATTATAAATATATAAACGTCATCATCGATTTTGAGTACTTCTATAAAAATATGAGCTTGTATGCAAAACTAAATCCTAATAACAAGTAATAAAACCTTCAACCGAATGAATGTATCTAAATTCGCCTTTTCAAACATTAAATTTGCTTTGAAAACTCATAAAAGCCAATCAAAGTATTACCTTATTATTATTATATTCAACGTTATCTTCATAAATTCCGCTTTAAAAAGATGAACCCGATTGGATTACTATAGAAACTGATCAACATTAATTTGGTACGGAAGCTTAAAAGTCATCGGTAAATAAACTTTAAATAGATGAACCTGTTTTTGAACTTTACTTCTTTGTAAAGGTTCCCTACGACTCAGTACAGCTGGATAGAAATATTAGAAGAAAAAAAAAACTATAAATATTAAAACAATTCACAAGCCTTGACGTCATTATTAAGCATTTCAAAAACCCTACTAGACTTCATTAATTAGAAAAACTTTGACGTTATAATACGCCTTTACATAGGTGAAAACGCCTTGGAATAGGTCTCAAACTCCAGCAGTGTTCTTAGATACCCTACTGCCTAGGGTAAGATGAAAAGCAAAAGCGCCAAATTTCATAATTCTTAATTAGCCAGAAAACTGAACTAGAAGTCGTGACTCGCGAAACTCGTTTATGCCACTCCGATCGCTTATGCCGGAATGACAAATTATGCATAATCAGCCTGCCAGACGACGGTGTAGTTTCACAGAGAGATTCACACAATTAACGAGCAGATTTATATATTTTTCTTTCCAACAAGTTCAGGCAGAGTACATCACTGCCAGTGTGCCATGCATATGTATAAGTTGCCGCCTAGTCGACATTAGATTCGCTGTTTTATGGAAAGCAAAATGACATATGGGAACGCGTGTGATGTTGGCTAGTGCCTCTCAAAATTCACATCTTGGATCTACCAAGCCCAAAGGATCACTCGGGTGAACTCGACTCGCTGTCGTCCTCTGACATTGGCTTCTTATGGCGTCCGCTGACCAAGTCCACGAAAACTAGGCCGCCCACCCCGCAGAGTCCCCCCACGAAGAGGTAGAAGATGAGGCCGTGGGGAAAGAAGTCCTTCCAGGATTCACCTTCGTCCTTGTCTCCGTCCTTGTTTGCCCACTGTACCGCCAGTTCCAACGGCTGCATGCGCATGGGCAGGTACTGGCTAGTCACTCTCCGCTTGAAGATGACAGACTTGGTTTTTTTTGGGAACATCTGGGAGCTACGGCTCATCTGCTTGCTCCTCATGGCAGACTGGTACTGGGACCACCTCGTTGACATTTGCCGCCCGGTGAAGGCCGTATCCTGCGAAGCGGTGGTGGTTATGTGCTGCATCCTTAGGAGGGAGTCGTACAGCTGCCGCGAGTTCTGTCGGTGCAGCGTCTGGTAGGCCTCGCAGATCTTGATGAAGACCTCAGAGTCGCGGGTCTGCGTGTTGGCGTCTGGATGGTACTTCTTCGAGAGCTCGATGAAGGCACTTTTGATCTCCTGGTCGCTAGAGCAGACGGGAACATTCAGCACCTGGTAGTAGTTCTCACCGCGGTGGAGCGGCTTGGGAAGGGTCTGGTAGTTGAATCTCGTGCCAAAGCCGGCCAGGCCGCGCACGCTTGGCAGGTGGCCGGTCTTGATTGTCCTCAACATTCACGTAAATTTTGCTAATCCAGAATCGTAATTCTAAAAATATATGTAGAAAAAATTTGTCTTTTTCGTCTATACTAGTACATGAAAATGGAAAATGTATTCCGTTAATAATTTTTTAGAGACAGCTGACATCTGATCTGAACGAGAAATTGTGAAAACAATTGAAAAGGTACATATTTTGTTTAACTTCCCTCGTAATCATCCATATTGCAGGGATTTTCAGAAACTTGCTGTCCGATTAGCAAGTTGAAGAGCATGCAAATATTCACCCCTGACTCAGCCAGTGGGGCGTGTCGAATGCCCCATTTTTGGCAGCGGGGCGACAAACTTTTTTGTCAATAGACGCGGGCGATAAAAGATCGGCCCTGGGCCTATATAAGCGCACCATGGCCAATTCTGTAAACAGTCGCACAGTTGTGCCATGATTTGTGGGCCATTATCTTGGCGTCTGACCTTCCGGAAGTGCCAACGAACTTGGCAATGAATCTTCCACGCTTGGAGCTACGCGTGTGCTCTGAATTTAGCCAGCTCAATATGGCACATAACCCGGCCATGTGCAGTTGCCCTGCGTTGCAGATAGAGAGCCAACTTGGGCGAGCAACAGTGCCTACTGCGTGGGCGCCGTCTGCGAATCTGCGAGGCAAGTGGGTCATTTCTCTCCGCCGGCACAAACAATTCCATTGAACTTGGCTTTGCCCGCTGCGTCAGCGGTCAGATTACGTCGAAGGCGGCTCAAAATATTTGCACTAGACATTACTATAATTGCTGTCGATGGCGATTATACGCAGTTTGACAATTTCAAGCGAATCCCAATATTTACCCGGCGAGTCATTCATTTATCTATGCATTAGTGTGCCCATAAATGGGCTTATAAATAGAGATTCGGCTTTTATTGTTACCTGGTAAAATGCACCCTTAAAAAATATAGTTATAAAAAAAAAGTAGTAAACTTTCTTAGAATACAATTTAAAGATAAATATATATTATATTATGTTTAATAGAAAAAATTGTTTAATTAGAAAAGAAAACCATTACTTAATAAAACAAGAATTCGAAAATAAATGTTTAAATATCGGAAAATCCAATGATTTCCTATAAACATATAGTTTATCTCAGTGTAATTGTTCGAATGTTGGGCTGTTCCAACTTGACATCATTTGTGGCCAGCAGATCTTGGACGGGAATGGAAATGGAACCCCACCTGCTAATTGGTTTCAGTTGAGCGGACTCCTCCTGACACCTTCTCACCGCCAACGACAGGAACAGTGACCTCGAGGCGGCGACTTGGCAAGAAGATATCGCCGAAAGCTGTGAACATTTAATTGGAATTGATTGAGCCGCCGGGCCGGTTATGGATGGTCAGGTCATTAGCGATTGGCGACTTTAAACGGTTCCAAGTCTCGCCGGAATCCCCCTCTATTAATACTAGATCAGAGCCCGAGTCTGGGAGCCACCATTACCATCGCTTGTGCGTCACTGTGCGAATGGGTTTGGTGACCACCGGCCACATCCCATATGTTAATTGACACTAACAATTTGTTTCACAAAGACGGCCACCTAGCCACGTTCCCGTCGAAATTACCATAGGCAAGCGCAGTGCCGGCGAAAGCCTGGCCAAATGCAAAACGATAATTGGAAACAGGTTCTGTTTCTATTGAAGAATTAGCTGGCGACGACTCTGGCACCGACTTCGACTCCGAATGCGAATCCAAGCCAAAGATTAACGACAAGTGGTGACTGGTTGTCTCCGCCGTGCGCTGGCTGGCTGGCTGGCTCATTTATCTGCCAAATAAAAGATGCGATGCTGCCCCTCCTTTCTCCCCGACCAACAGTCTGACGGACGGGCAGTTTACGAGGGTTTCTTGCGGGCTCCATGCTGGGTCAATGGACAGGAACGCTGCCAAGAAGTCTGCGCCGGCTATGGCTCATCGATTCGATTGGGTTTTCGGTTGGTTTATCGAGTCACAGCACGGCATACAGCGAAATTTAAATTATTCATGTGTCAGGTTGAAGGCTGTTGCCTTTCGCGTGTAAAAACCTATTTGATCGCCAGATTAACTCCGCTCACAGATCAATTAAAACTAAGTAATGGCGTCTGCGAAACCGGCTAGAAACGGAAATACGCCGGCTTCGACTGACTTTGCATCAATCAAGTGCGAGCAACTTTATTTAAATATCTGTTGAACATTTGCAGTGAGTGTTAATTGGGGAAGTGCTAATGTGAGTATTTCTGTGAGGGTGTCCAGCACATGTCCTCTTTCGATTCCTTACAAAAACTAGTACTAGTCTTGCTCTGAATCCTATCCAATATATCAGTCTTTCCATTGCTTTCATTACTCTAACTCTTTGCCTTGCAAAATTATTATATTTAATTTGAATATTTTGCACTAAGTGCTAATAGGGAAAGTCCTTATAGGAGCGTCCTGCACTCTGCTCTTTCAATGCCTTACAAAACTATTTCTTTTCGAAGCTCTAGGATTTATGTTCCTATTTTCGCGTCCTTCTAAAGGTGTTATTATCTCCGTTTCCACTTCCTTAGGTTAAGTAACCTTCAATCAGACTTTCCGTTGCATTCCGAGGAAGTGATTTGATAACTAATGATTTTTAAAAACTAGTTGGGAAAGCGTAAGCTGCGTTTAGCCACTAATTAGCCAGTTCTTCAGGTAGACAAACGTTGCGGTGGCCACGTGGGTTATCTGCTGCGCAAATGCTGCAAGAGAAGATACAGAAACAGCATAAACTTTATTAGATACGAGTATGCCGGCATTAAGCGACTTAATGACTATGTACTCGAATACTCGAACAAAGTGCCCGCCACCGGCTGCACTGCTAATTTGCATTTACATTTACACTAAGCGCCAGACCCCTAACTACACGGCATCTTCTTTAAACAAATACCCTTTCTTTACAACATATCACCATAAATCCACTTTAAACTAGTGGCAAACCCAGGCCTCAACTAACCCAAAGCAGTTCAACTAAGGCTTAACTTCAAGAAATGTGTGAAAAAGTATTATATTTTTATGCGAACTGTAACAGATTTAATTAGACCTTAAATTAGGCAGTATAAAATGGATTTGAACTTTAGAATTGGTCACAGTTTAATTTATAAAATGGATATAAAAAGGAAATATAATAAAATTTGAGATACTTTATAAATATACCCCAAAAGAGCATACAATATTCGATGTGTATCCCATAAGGCACCAAAAAACAGGTGAGCTTTTCAGAAAGTCCAGGCTAAGTCTTAGGTTGGGGCTGGGCTTCAAGTTTTATTACGGGTGCGACAGTAAAAGCCAACCCTGAACCCCGGGACAAATTGACAAATGGTGTTGGCCAAGCCAGGAAACTATGGTGATGGTTATGGTGAGCATTTATGGGCACCTTTCGTTTTAATTTGCCGTGATTAATTTGCATATTTCGGCCTGGGCTGTGCCTGCAGTCGGCATGCGGCATGCGGAAGTGTCGGCGGCATAATTTTGGATTTATATGCATCATAAATTAAGTTTTCTGCACTTGGGCTTAGTCAGCCGTAAATATGCGATTTTATTTGGTGTTCATCATTTCAGTTTTTATTGATTCGATGTAAATGCAAAGTGCCTTGTAATTAGCAGCCACTAAACCGGGCTGATAGATCGCCGAGCGAGGGGCGCTTCCTGAAAGCGTTGCGATGACTTACTGGAAATATGGAGATGTACAATAAAACATTTGTAAACATTCGAGCATTTGACCAATGACGAATGACAAATGACCGGCGACTGGCAGCTGACAGCCGGGCGGAAAATAAAAGCGAGGCGCTGTTTGTTTAGTACATGATACATGAGTTTTATTTGTATTTTACTTGTATCCATCTTGTATCGATATACAATATATTTCGTAATATAATTTTTCACTTAAATTTTTGTTATTTGTTTTTATGCTGCTGCTTCAATGCGGGTCTCAATTGTTTACACATTACATTTCCTCGTGGTAGTTTCTTCATACTCGCTCGTGAGTGTCAGTAATCGTATTAAATTTAGCATTTAATTGTGTCTGGTTTTGGTTTCTGGTTGTTGTTAGCAGAATTTTGGTTTGCTTTCGATTATATGTAGTACAGTATGTATATTATATATATATATCTATATATTCAGTAAAATGATCCCTACATTTTGTATGCTCATGTCATATTTTTTTCAATCTAGATGTATGTCTGTGTATATATATATTTATATATAGTTAATATCTTAAAACAGCAATTATATTTTGCATATGTTATCTGTTGTCGGCGCAAGATCTGCTCTTCCTTGAATTTAAAGTAAGTTCTGCGACAATAATAATGCTTTAATTATAATTAAATCGTTAACAGCGTTCCGTTATTGACACACAAATAAACATCGTCGGATATTTAATATTTAATAGAATTCTGCTTTTATATTTTATTCGGTTCGCTGTTGCTGCTACCTCTTGCTGAACACTAAAGCGTCGCCATCAAACGATATATAATATATTCAAATTTGGAACAGAAGATGAGGACTCGGAGCTGCCATTGTACCAAATGTACGGGTGTTCAGTGTTCAGTGTTCAGTGTGTGTGTGTGTGAGTGTGAGTATGTTTGTGTCCATTTTATGAGCCTCGATTTATTAATTTTCGATCTGCTCTTGACTTTTGCTCTTTTGCGCGACCAAAAGTTGTCTTATTCGTTATTTTTAGCTACCTTTTAACATTATTTGCATTAGTGATGCCTTGCGAGAGTGTTTGTTTGCCATTAAGTAGTTTTGCTAGCCATTACAGATAACTCAAACGGGCACCTGTCTGTGTCTGCGTGGGTGTCAAGTGTCCAGTGTGTGTGTGTTGGTGTGTTGGTGTGGAGCAACTACAACTTGCAATTAAGCTAATCCGTGTGTTCTAACTGGAAATCAAACCGACAAGTCCAACTGATAAGACGGGGGGGAATCAACGCAAAATGCTTGGCATGATTAAAAGCTAACAGTTATAATTACAGTTGTATCTTTTTACCTTTGTTTTATTACCACTAACAAGTAAGAACACATATTTAACCACAATTTGTTTTGTTTTTTTCCGTTCTCCGTTTTGTTTTCCCTTTGTTTTTATTATTTATCTTATATTTCTGTTTGGTTTCTGCTTGTATTGTGTGTGCTTGCTGCTTAATTTATACAAATTGCCTACTTAAAAAGTCATAAATCAGAGCCTTACTGCACACACCAGCTGCGTTCGAGTGTGTTATCCATAATATATAATTAAACTAAATAAACAATAGGCCATATATTGATATGTATTTGATTTTTATACATAAAAGACTCTGTATTCATTTACTAAACTCCATCTACGGTTCTCGTTTCGTCCTCCGCGCACTCTGCTCTTTAATGCTAAATGTGAGAATTGGTTTGGTTTCAAATGCATTTCTGTGCCTGGTTTATCGTAATTAATATCATTATTCCTCAGATTCAGATTCAAAGTTAGATTCTGTGTGGGCGTGGCTGACTGTGTTGTAATTGGTATTGTATGGTGTAGCAATCAACATATTTATTACATTGTACAAAGAGCTTTGTCTACCACCTAATTATCCCCTTTTATTATCAGATGTCGTAGCTGATATAATTTTTAACTTGTCCTTAATACACAATAAACAAAAACTTGAACTATGTTTTCTCCACTATTAATAATATCTCTGCTTGTTGCTTACACGAAACACAAACACAATAACCTTTAACCGACTAAGGATTCTGCTCGTGTATTTCCTATTCCTACTTTGTCCTTCTATGAAGTGTGGGTGTGATGAGGGTTGCTGGTTGCGGGTTGCGGGGTGTGTGTGCGTGGAATCAGCATGCTTTCTTTATTATCATAGATTAGAATATGTGTGTTTCCGTTTCCGTTTCGTTTATATATAAATTCTTTTACAATTGGCAGACTACTACAGCAAAAGCACACTGAGTGGGTATGTGATGGAAATGAGTGTAAGGATGTGGGGGAACTGTGTAAGATCGTAGGATCGTGTTCGTATATACTTTAAGGGTGACTTGGAAGAACCGCAACGAAAGCTTTAATCTATTCAAATCATACGAGTGGCGATTAGTGTGCACGTTCACCAAAAATGAGACGACGAAGTGTCCATGTCCATGTCCATGTATAAAAATTTAGATCTATAAGCATAACACTTGGAATTTGTCTTTCATTCGTTTGCTCTTTTGCTTCTAAGGCGAAATATTATATTGTCAATTCTTTGGCTTGAGCCGAAAACCATGCAAAATGACAAAAAATATTCCTAATTTCGGGTGAGACGAAAACAATGAGAAAATGCATACAAATATCAAATGTGACAACAAAGTCGTAGTAGAATGAGTACGCTCGTAATACATTTTCACTTCTCTTTGTCTTTGTCGAAGGCAGAAGGCATAATACACACTAAATTCATGTATTTTCGATTTCGGTTTCGTTCCCATATCGTCTCCTCTCGCTTCTATATGTATATGTATACTAACTCTATGCATTTGGTGAGTGGGCCCACAGCCAATCCTGTCCTGGCCATCCCCGGGCTGCTCCACCCGACCTTGGAGGGCGGCCAGGCGGGCATCGGGGGACCACAGGCAGCACTCGCTTGGGCGCACTCGTCTCTACAGAATTACAGGATTAACTACCAAAGTCTAGTCTTGGAATCGGTTTCTTTATGTACTCTTCATTTACTTAATTTTCCATTTACTTTTATTTTAGGTTTCAGTTTATAGTTTAAGAGGCGAACGTGGTGCAATCATAGGGATAGGGGACAGGGATTAAAGCTAGTTATCTTGGAGTTCGTCTCGCACTGGTTCGACAATGGCTTAGTAAAAAATGTTAAAGTTATTCATCTTTTGGTTAATATCTTCCTCAATTAATGCAATTTCGGTTTTGTTTTGTTTTGTTTTCATTTCGCTTCTTGCTTCTTGGTATAAAAATATAAATGTTCCACATATACTTAAAAAATCCATTTGTTTAAGTTATTATTTTGCATCATGCAGTGTCATTATATATTCTTTTTTTTCGATTTATTAGCTTGCTCTTGGTTGTCCCGTTTAGAAGTATTTAAAGTAATTGGTAACTTAGGAATGCCTTGCGGATCTGTCGTAAATCCTTCCTCCCTCCGGTTCGCTTCAAGTGTGGAATTAATCGTTAATCGTTAATTGTTTATCGCGGTGCAGTACTGGGGGAGTCTACGTGAGTGGCTTGCTATCGTTGCTTGCATTGGTGTGTGTTGAGTACGAGTACGAGTTCGAGTAGTAGCGGATATAACGGATTCGAATACAGTGTGTCGCTCGTCATCTGGCTAGAGATTCACATTAATTCCTACGTTAATGCTACAGTTGAAAGCGAACATCGCTCAGTAGGCCTCGACGACCACAGTTCATACCTAATAAAATACAATAATCGTTTTGTTTTCGGACTTTGCTCGGTTTTTGTGGTTTTCTTTTTAATCTCTGGAATTTATTGGTTGGGTTTAAAACGTTTAAATGTTAGCAAACAGTTAATGTTGTTGTTCTTCATAAGTCTAATACTTGCTGGATCTATGTATTATCAGATAGTGTGTGGTATTATAATAATTGTTGATAAAAATAACTTACTTAATATCAGTGTGGCTTACCTTAGTAAATTTCGAAAGGTTTTCGATTTCCATAGTTAATACATATTGATATGCTTTAATACGATTACAGATTACGATTACGATTACAGATTACAATTACGATTACCGTTACGATTACTCATTAGCTCTCATTTAGTCTGCGACACACACTGAACTCTAGGGTTTGACAATGATCTTTCGTTTTTCATTTTTCATTTTTCTCTTTTTTCACTTTTATTTTTTCATTATTAATTTTCATTTTTCATTTTTCATTTTTGGATTTACGTTTTGAACAATATTTATTTATAGATATAGACATACCAAGTACATATATGTTTTCATTATACAATACGTTTGTGTTTAATCATTGATCCAATTTCGCTATGTGTATAAAATTTCTAATTACCATTATTCATTATTCAGTATTCAAATCATTTCCTCCTCCTTCCGTCCAAGGTCTCACTAAGCCAATTTGTAAAACGTTTAGTACAAATACAATAATCTGTATATATATATTTGTTTTGTATGTATAATATACTGATATGTTTTGCATTATAAATATCTTCCTCGTCCTCGCCCCAAACTATGCTAAACATCATAATTCTCCGATCGCTTTCCTCAATTTTGTTCGCTTCGAAAAAAATTGGTTTTGGGTTGTGCTTGACTTGGGGGCCACGTTCGTTAATCCAATTGTTGTTTTTTTTTTACTTTTAGCTTCGTCCTCCTAAAAAACCAATGCCAATTTTTTGTACAATACAATTGTGGATCTTCCAAAAAATGTCCATTTGGGTTTTCTCATAAGAATCTTGATCTTTTGTGTGGTTACAATTTTCCTCTAGCGTGTCGTATTTCCTTGGGAAAGTAAATCGAAATCAAACGAACCCTCAACCTAAGTATGAAACCAATGCAATTTGGCCAAATATCGTTAGGCTACAAGGACTTTTCCAAACTGAAGGCTAAAATTGTGCGATTAAATGCGCTCAAAGATCGCTCAAGAATGTGGGCGTGGCAAAAAGTATCTGTGTCTGTCACCTGTCACTCGATAAACGCATCCCAAAACTTTGTTCCTTTTTTGGCTGCCGCGGAGCCATGACAAACATCTTGTTGCTGCGCTCTTTCTATACTCGTTAATTATCAAAAAATTTCGCCATTATTTCCGCTTCAATTTCACTCAAATTAAGCAATTTAGCATTGTGCTACACAAAACAATTTGGTTTGGGCCTGGCCTATGGCTCCTGGCCTGGGGCTACAGTGGTCGTGGTCTCTGGAGACGGAAGTCCGGCCGCGCTGGGCAGGATTCACTCTGCCGACCAGTGACTCCCTCGGGTGCGGAGAGCTCTAAGTTCAATTTACAAATGTTCAGCAATCGCCGTCAGCTTGCTCTACCGATTCTACTAAATTCCGTAAACAAATCTCCTGCTCTACACGGTTTCTCCTGCGCCTACGTAAAAATCTCGGGTTCCTCCTGCCGCCTGCTACATTTTATTAATATATGCGTGTTCTAACTTTAAGTGTGTGTGTGGCTGTGAGTGGGTGTGGATGTGGGTGTGAGTGTGTTTCAGTGTGTGTTTTGGATACTGCCGGGTGTGGTTTTCTTTTAGAAAACCCCTTTGGTTCGCAGCGCAGCGCAGACGTAGAGCAGGGCGGCGAGGCCGAGCAGCTGCAGCCGGGGGGATATGGAAGCACTTCCCGAGTCGCCATTGCAGCCAGTGCCTGGGGGGAAGAGAGGAAAGGAGAGTTTATAGCAGTTCTGTGAGTCAATAATCAGATAGATCGTTAATGGATTGATATGTTTATGTGGGCGGTTCTTGATATTTGGCATGAACTGCGGTCCATCTCCCAGGACAAGGCAATATATTTTGCTCTACTGCTCTCATTTTGTATTTATATATACACTCAACAAATAATAAGAGGTACATTTTGGGTAAGGAAAAGCAATAAAGCATTGGGTTTTTTCGTGCGAGTTTTGGTGCTTTGAAAACGGAAAGAAACTTAGGGAGAATTTCACGCGAACTTACCTTGGGCCGAAAAAAACTCCCACAGAACGACCTGCTTTGCATTGTCATAACATCATTTTTTACATTAATGCAAACAAAGGTTCAGTCAAAAATCGTGTGCTAATTCATTCGAAAGTTGTTTGGCCACAACAACCCAGACAAGATTCAAACTTCAAATGGTCCGGTCAGCTATCGGATTTCAACACACGCCGATCCAAGCCAGTCCAGGCCGGGCCCAAATCCCGGCCCAGAAAGAAGGCCGGCACAGGGATAACTTGCTCAACGACTAACTAAACGTTTTATAAGCCTCCCAAGAGAAGTGCAAGTGTGCAAAAATTACTTAAAATCATAATCAACCAAAGCGAAGCCATCGAAAGGCAATAAAACACAGCAAAGCAAATCAATTTCGAAATCAATCTTCGGCAAGCTGAGCAATAAATCGTGTTTATAATGCCGAATTGTTCATATTTCTTAAGACATTATAATGCACAGGAAGAAATTACAAGTTTTAAGATTTTTTACCCGTTTTTAACTTAAATGTGCTAATAATTAAATTCTTTTTGATTTGCTTTAATTTTTGTATTTAAGTTGCAGATTACATCTAGTCACAGGTTCAGTCAAGTAAGTTTACATTGTAACAAACACACTCACCGAGCGTTGTCCACCTCAACACGCTCTGTCTACTTTTTCTGCTCGGCAGGCTCAGGGAAAATGGGCGTGGGTTTTGTGTTGACATGAACAATGGTGCTACATAACTAATATTGTAGACAGAGATACTCTAGCTGGGGATATGGTAAATAATATGAATCAGACGAAGGAAGTGTACCTATTGAAGATGAGGCTCCGATGTTATTGGCCTCAATCTAAACCCTCCCAACCTGTGAAGTCCATTCAGGCTCCACCCTTATACAACCAATGCTCTACATCCCCTTAGGTGCCCAACAAGATATCAAATTAGTTCATTTTCAAAGTCATATAATTGCAGGCTGAGATAATATTGAAAGACATTTTCCTAAATCTAATCCTTAAGCCTAAGTTTACGTTATTTACGTTACGAGACCTCTTATTGAGTCAGTTTGTTTTAGATCCAATGAAAGGAAATAAAATTTAAGATAAGAAAGAACGCTTTTTCCTTTTTTACTTTACATTAAATAGATTAACTTATTAATATTCTTTTGAATCAATTAATTAATTAAGATGTGCAAACTATTTCAGAAGTCTTGGCGAAATTATAAGGATGGGTTCAGTTTTATTTTGTTGTTTTGCGGCTAGGCCGTACTCACGCTTTCTCCATCGACGTCAGCAGGCCTGATGACTGGTGATGTGTAGCTGTATGTGTTTTAAGTTATTTGAGGGACAAAACGATATTATAATTGCCAAATCTCCCAAAAAAAAATTGCTAAATTACGACCGAAAAGGTTTATAAGTACGAATTCTTAAATCAAAAGCTCCTATATGCAAAATTAATTATATTTTAGACACTATCATTCATGTTTATCCGCTCCTGGAGCAGAGTGTGGGCCGGATCAGCCACCAGCTCTCAATACGGATATGTAATGCTACTTCCGTCGTTCGCGCTGATGAAGATGACACGCACTATGTGCGACAGGGATGGCCGCAATCCCTTGCGTGAGGCGTGAGCGGAACGAGACCAGCCCGCCAAGGTGTGGATGCGGCAGAGCGCACGCGATGTGGCAAAGATGCACGGCGATGTGGCAAAGAACGATGTGGCCACGAAAAAGACACACGGCGATCCAATAGGTGCGCCGAAGAAAAGCACGGTGATCCAATATGTGCACCGTGTGAGGGAACGGCGATCCAATATGCGCGCCGTGTGAGGGAACGGTGACACGTTAGCGAGGCGGTAAAGAAAATCCAAATCGAGGATCACCGCAATCGGCACGTGTATGGCCGCCGAAATGGGAAGCGCAGCCCCACGCTGTGCGTGCGAATGCTCCGATGACACGTGGCGTTGATCCCGCTGAGAAGCCACAGACAATGCCAACGATGAATGCCACAAATGACTGCCACCTCACGTGGTGGACAATTGCTGGCAAAAACAATGCCGGTCGCTTGGACGACTCTGCCGATACGGCTGACGCTGTTTTGAAAAGGCAAAATTAGCACTCCGGCGATCGATTATTCACACAAGCTTACCAATATACGTTAGAGCACTAAATTTACTTAATATGGGTATGATTCGCTTTAACAAATACTGTCGGATCGACACGATGCTTGCGGATTTAGGATCGACAAAAATTAATCCGAACTCGGGGACGCCTTGTGAGAAAGAGAACGGAAGTGAGGGGATCCAATGTGACCGTGGCTTGCAAAAATCCTGTTCGCGAATTTTTGTGGTCTTTTTTAGGTCCTATCGCATATTAGCGATTTGGCAGGATCGTAACTTTAACAGCCCGGTTGTTTGAAAAATGTGGGCGATAAAACTTATCGAGTTGCCACACTGGCTCGATTCCCACAACCACAGCTTTGATTTTTAGTCCCTGTGATTAACAATAAAAGCTGAAAAAGGAATCAAGAGCAATCACCAGATATCCTTGGCATGAAATCTACCCAGTTCCTTTCCGTTCATGTCCTCTAAGAGGTAAATTGACTGTCCAATTCTTGCCTTCACTCGGGCCTTGATACCTACAGGAGCGAGTTTCGCATTAAAATCCTTTGCTGCGTTGCTAAGTACAAAATTCCTTTTGACTACTTCTTGGCCAACCTCAAAAGAACGGGGTCTTGTTCGAAGATTGTAAGACTTTTGGTTTGCCTCATAAGCCTTATTCAAATGTTTGCCGATGTTAGAACGAATCCTTTGGAATTCGTCAGTTTTTGTCAGGCTTACTTCGCCTTCTGCAAGAAGGTTTAGTTTACGCAGCAGTTTGTAGTCATGACCGTGGGATATCATGTGTTGACCAAAAACAACATGATAAGGCGATAAACCGATGGATTGGTGAATCGAGTTACGAAGAGAGCAGTTGATGCTACTGAGAAATGTGTCCCATTCGCGTTGGTCGGTGCGAATATATGCTCTTAAAGCAGCATTGATTGAACGGTTGACTCTCTCAGCACTGTTGGATTGTGGAGCATAGGCACCAGTAAACATATGACGAACGCCATATTTCGAAAGGAAGTCAGAGAAATCACGGCTTTTAAATTGAGTTCCGTTATCACTGACGACTGTTTCGGGTACACCAAAGCATGAAAATATTTCATCGCGCAATATATTGATGACCACTTTAGCCGTAAACTTTTTCACTGCTTTTAGAAAGGTGAATTTGGAAAAGTGATCAAGAATAATCAATATTCCAATATTGCCGGAATTGGAGCGCGGAAATGGCCCTATAAAATCGAGATAAAGTCTTTGGAATATCCTTTCACTTTGCACTTGTGCTCCCATTGGTGGTTTTAAAGAATGGGTAGGATATTTTGTGGTCTGGCATGTTTCGCAATTTCGAATGTAATCACGAACGTTGATAACCATGTTTGGCCAATAGAAACGTCGTCTGATACGCTCTAGGCATTTGGCCATTCCACAATGAGCAGATGTTGGTTGGTCGTGAGCCGAACTAATTACACTTTGACGCAACGACTCAGGAACGAAAAGTTTCCAGCAATCGTCTGGTGAAACGTCATAAGAATTGGGGAACGTTGCACGATGATAGATGAACTCATCTATGACTTTGAAATCCGGTGATTTCAGAGATTTGAATTTGTCTCTGAGAGCGGAGTACTCTTCCGATTGAAAAGCGCTTGATGATAGGTCAATTTCGGGATAAATTTCAAGGTCTATTGCAGAGATGTCAATCTCTTCGAACGATCGAGACAAAGCATCTGCCACCACATTTTCGGTTCCTTTGCGATGTTCGATTTGGAAAGAAAAAACCCTGTAGCTTGATAGCCCATCTTGCCAATCTACCGCTTAGATCCGATTGGTTCATTAGCCATCGAAGACTTGAGTGATCGGTTACTACCTTAAAGCTATGACCGTCAATGTACATTCTGAACTTTTTAATTGCTAACACTACAGCCATGCATTCGAGTTCCGTAACTGTATAGTTACGCTGGGCTTTGTTTAGCTTTTTGGACATGAACGCTATGGGACGCTCACAACCGGAATCGTCGCATTGAGCTAGAACTGCACCCACTCCATGTAGTGAAGCATCACACTGCAAAATGAATGGTTTGTCGTAATTGGGATGAACAAGGCAAGGAGCAGAGCATAACTTGGCCTTGATGTTTTCGAAAGCTTCTTGGGCATTATCGTTCCAACTTAGTGTTTTGCCACGTAGTTGTTCCGTCAGATGGAAAATGACTGTGGAATAGTTGGATATGAACCGCTGGTACCAACCAGTCATACCAAGAAATCTTCGGAGCTGTTTTTGGGTCTTCGGAACCGGAAATTCGCTCACGGCTGCGATTTTGTTTGGATTTATTTGAAGAGTACCTTCACCCACCAGGTAACCAAGGTAGTCTACAGTTTTCAGGCAGAATTGACTTTTCTGAACGTTTATTGTTAATCCAGCCTTACGCAATTGGGTAGCTACTTCGGATAAATGCAGAAGATGTTCTTCGAAGTTGTTTGACAAAACAAGCAGGTCATCGAGGTAGACTAACACATGCGATTTTAATTGATAGGGAATAACCAAGTCCATTAATCGGCACATGGTTTGTGGAGCGTTTGACAATCCAAAAGGCATCCTCTTGAATTGA